GCTTGTGGGCAGAAGGGTGGAGACCTCAATCTGCATATTCATGGGAGTCTGACCAATCCCAGGCTAAGAGGCCCTGGCAGTGTGGTAGACTAGCCCATAAATATGAGAGAGCCATGCTAGCCGGGGAGTCTGGTGGAAGATAGATTGCTGAGAGGTTCTGCAGTGTAGCCTGAGAGGGAACCCCAGAGGAGGGAGGGGGTTCTGGTTCCAGGCAGGAAGTTGAAGATAAGCTGGAAGAGGGAGCTCCACTACCCTGCAGTCCACTAGGGAAGGACAGCCTGCAATGCTTAGAGAGCTTGGGATGCCTGAAAGCAGTTCTATCCACAGCTGCAGGACAAGAACAGTGTGAGTACCTCTACACCCCCAGAGACTATAAAGAAGTCTGCTGGATGCAAGTTCTGGCAAGACTTCAGGGAACAGTTCATAGCTTACCCAATCCCTTGTCCTGGGATTAGATACTGTAGCCAGGTATTCTGTGGACTAAGGGGACCAAGAGCTCCTACACGTTGTCATGTTGCGATAAATCCACTCTGGGGGCACCAGCTCCTAGACAGAGATTACTCTACTAAGGACTGTGATGGTTCCAGCTGGAAGGCAGTTTGTCGTTTTATTTTCTAAGTGTGCAAGAGCATATTCATTCTGCTGTGTCGTCAATGAAATTGGGCATCCCATATCCTCCTCACCCTATCCAAGTTGTTAACCCCTAATAATAAAAAAAACAAAAACCAAGCTCATGGACTGTTTACTGACTGTGGATGCAAGTGTGTGTACATGCGGGGCCCCAGAAATCAGCGGCCCTTAAGAGGATAGCGCTACATTTAGGAAATGCTTAAATTGTTCTATGAAAGTTCTTTTTGATGTGGTTTGTAAATTGCGATGTGATATCTCACAATTGTGTACTCACTGCATTAAATATTTGTAATCATATGTCCTAAAAGGACACATACATGGTTCCAGGCTTCAGATTTGGCCTATAAGGATTCAGTCCGACAATGCCACAGCATTCTCATACATCAACCACCAGGGTGGTACCAGGAGTCGAGGTGCTCAAAAGGAGGTGAACTATATTCTGACCTGGGCAGAGAGATATGTTTCAAGTCTGTCAGCAGTGTTCATTCCAGGTGTGGAAAATTGACAGGCAGATTATCTCAGTCACCGGCAGCTGATTCCAGGGCAATGAGCATTGCATCCCAATGTTTTCAAGTAAATCTGCCAGCGATGGGGTTGCCCGAATGTAGATCTATTGGCATCCAGGTTCAACAACAAGGTCGGTCTTTTTGCGTCCAGGGTAAGGGACCATTGCATGGCAGGGGTAGACGCCTTAGTGATTCCTTGCAACCAGTTCTTACTGATTTATGCCTTTCCTCCTATCCAGCTGCTGCTGCGTTTCTTATGCAGGATTCAGGAGGAGTCTATTCCGGTGATACTGATTGCATCGGCGTGGCCCAGGAGGGCCTGGTACAGGGACATGGTGAAGATAGCAGTAGACGGGCCATAGGCCCTGCCGTAACAGCCAGACCTGTTGTCTCAAGGTCCTATATTGCACCCAGCTTTGCGGTCGCTAAATTTGACAGTGTGGCTATTGAAACCCAGATCCTGAAAGATAGGGGAGTGTCGGATTCTGTCATTCCCATCATGTTGGGTGATAGAAAGGAAGTTTCTAGGAACATTTATTACAGAACCTGGAAGGTTTACACTGCCTGGTGTGAGGTTCACAAATGGAACCAATGAAAGTATGTGATTGGCAGGATTCTGTTGTTTCTTCAAACAAGGTTGCAGATGAATTTGGCTGCTAGTACCATTAAGGGCCAGGTTTCAGCAATTTTTTTCCAGAAGTCATTGCGTCTCACACTTTGGTCCGCACGTTTTTACAAGGAGTGATGTGTATGGCTCAGATTGCCTTTGTGCCCTTGGATCTGAACTTGGTTTTGGAGGTTTTGCAAAAGCCACCATTTGAACCTATTGGAGAGATTCCACTGGCCCTGTTGACTCGTAAGGTGTTGTTTCTAGTGGCAATCACTTCTGCAAGAAGGATGTTGGAGCTAGCAACTCTATCTTACAGAGAACAATTTCTGTTTTTTCAGCATGATAAGGTGGTGTTGTGACCTCATCCGTGCTTTTTACCAAAGGTGGTTTCTAGCTTTCATCTCAATCAGGACCTAGCTCTGCCTTCATTCTTTCCTAGGCCTCAGTCAGCAAGAGAAAGATCTCTGCATACCTTGGATGTGGTACATGCTGTAAGGGTCTTCTTGAAGGCAACAGAACAGGGCAGGAGGTCAGATGCTCTATATGTGCTGCCAGAGGGGCCTAGGAAGGGGCAGATGGCATTCAAGGCGACTATTTCTCATTAGGACCGCCAATTAATCATTCAAGCCTATGGTTGAAAAGTAAAATCCCACCCTTTCGGGTGAAGTCACACTCTTCCAGGAGTGTGGAGGCATCTTGGGCAATCCGCCATCAGGTGTCAGTGGCTCAGGTTTGCTATATGTTCTTTGGTTCACACATTCACAAGGTTCCACTAGGTGGATGTCAGAGCTGCAGATGATTCTGCCTTTGGCCGCAGTAGATCCTGAGGGATTATAGATGGTTACTATCAAGGTGTCACCCTCCCCTCAAATTTCTACATCCCACGTAGTCATGAATAGCCTGCTCTGTGTACCATGATGTACGATAAAGAAATGTGGATTTTGTTCTACAAATCCATTTCTTAGATTTCATCACAGGACGCATAGGTTCCGCCCCTCTTTCTGAAATTGTCATTGCTTGCTACAAAAACTGAAGTACTTCCTGTATAGCAGAGGTTATATAGGGGAGGACCTCCTTTCTGATTGGTAGGCCAATGTCCATTCACCTATAAGTGGCCTATAACCCACATAGTCATGAATCGCCTGCTCTGTATCCTGTGTTGTACGCCAAGAACTGGATTTTACTGGTAAGTATATAGAAAAAAATAAAATTTGGGGGGGGGGGGGGTCTGCTTTGGGTGGGGGAACCTCTGTCCTAGCCTGATGATGACAGAGAGCTCTTCTACGGATCCAGGACACAGGCAATACAAGTACCAAAACTGACACATACTGCAGTTGACTACAGTATTTAGGAAACAGTGAGTACCAGCTTTCTGGACCTAGAGACTTTCTATGGCCTCTTTTGGGAGAGCTTTTCCTTGGTATATTTAGGGCTACACTTCTGCTGAGAAGTCCCTGATTATTACCACAGTTTACCATCAATTTAAAGGGGGTACATTCACCCTTAAGAAATAGCTCAGATATAGTGTCCTTTACTGCAAGTTATTAAAGTTCACTGGAGTATCGCTAGGGTCACCCCCACCCTTTCCCAGTTCTCTAACAAAATAAATTAAAAAATCACAAAAAGACACGTACAGTCTGTTCTCTGACTTGAGTGACTATGAAATACCGTGTGCCTGGCTGCTGGGTGCCTATCAGGGAATGGAACCTGGGACAAAACAGCCGGACAAGTACCGGGTCTGCACTACAATGATATTTTTGTTTTTGAGTGTTTATACACTTTAATTACAGGAACATCTGTAGACCTTTAACGAGAATTGTTTTTGTTACGAGCTGTTCGAAGACAGGGGAAGGCAGGTCACTTATTGGCAATAATGTTTCTGGAAATGTTAGTTGCTAGTAGACCCAGTTCCATCCATTGGTATAAAGCAGAGTAATATATCAAACTACAGTCCATAGGCCGCTATAATCATTGGGAGAAGATAACAGTGCCATTTATGACCATTCTAAATAAAAAAAAAAAAATGTTCCGGTTGCAGAGAGATACATGGTAGCAAGACCCCCCAAGGCTGGACCTTGTAATCATTTCATTAGAAAGAATTTGAGAAGCATAGTGGTGGACAACCAAAGGCTGAATCACCTTCTGTCTTCTTATATCTGCTGCCCTCACCCACCATACTCAAGACCACAGCAATACTGACGCTCTCTTACAGCTGGGATCTTCAATTATTTTATTATAGTGAATTAAAGAGACACATTTAAGCAAATGGGAAAGAATCATTTGTCTTCAGAGTGGAAGTCATCATGCGTTTTCACATAACAGCCAAGAAAACCTGAAATATTACATTTGAAAACAACAGACCTTCAATCATTATGTCAATGCTTAGAGATATTAAGTATTGCTGTTATTAAAGCAATAGTTAAAGTTTGCCTCCACTGTTTACCCAGGTGTACAACCAACCTATTACCATCCCTGGTAAGAACAGCCTCATTGTGAAATATTCCCATTGCCAGAAAAATGATCCATTCAACGTTGTTAATCATTCTTCCTTTATTTTTTCACAGATAAAGAGGAAATTATTGTGTGTTTAGAAAAGTGACAGATTGTTCTTAATTGACTGAAATAATTACTCAATGAAGAAATAATTGACAATATTATTAGGCTGTGTTTATATAACTATTTATAATTGTGTTTTTAGATTTTGTGCCCACTTTCTTCTTTATGTGAAAAAAGAAAGAAGCATTAACAAAAATGGTGGTGACTCTTATTTTCTCAATGATAATATATGCTTATGGAGGAGGTCACAGTGCCATTAGCTCTCCTTCATGCATCAGTTGCTGGAAGTGGATAATCCCTGGTAAGAAAGGTACAGGAACTTGTTCACAGTAGTTTACATACAGTATATTAGGAATCCAGGCAAGAAATAGTTATGGGCGAATCTGGCTGGGTTTAATTCACCAGGGGTTTGGGGAATCTTGTTTGAAATTCAGCAAACCCAAATCCTATTGTCATTTATGAAGGGTTAATCTTGTTATTAAATTCTGGTCAGTTTTAGGGCTAATAGGCAAACTAATGTCAAAAAAAGATATTGCGGACTGGGTATCAAAAAAGAAAAACATTACAGATGGGATCTTTTCATGTGACTTTAGGGGAAACATTGAAAATACAGAAATCCTTTAAATAACAAGCATTGGGGATTCCTTAAAGCCCAACTCTGGGCAAAAAAAGGTTTTCCCATGTGGTGGGGTTGTGTTCACATCAGGGGCGGACTGACCATTTGGAAACCCGGGCACTGCCCGAGGGCCGGGGTCAGTAGGGGGTCCCATGTGATACCCCTGGTACCTTTTTCATAGGCTTTTTTGAGTTTGGGCAAGGACACAGGGGCCCCATGATCCCCTATTGCCCGGGGGCCCCATGAGTTGTCAGTCCGCCCCTGGTTCACATTGCACTGATTAACTACATGTTTTGCTCAGGGGAGAATAGAAAGCTGTATACTCACCCGCTCTGCTGCTCCACAAAACAGCACTTCCCCACGATCCAGTGGTATACTGTTCCTGATGTCCTCATTTCCAGAGCAGGTCCGTTAGAAAGCGAGGGGACAGGAGTCACAGGGACCAGACTTGTGCGGGGAGGATTGGAGGATTAGATAAGTATATCTCTGTTCTCCAATCCCCTAGACAAAAATGAGCAGTTAATCTGTGCAGTGCAGGAACAACCCCACTGCATAGGAGAACCTTTTTTTTGGCCCAGATTTATGCGTTGTTACAAAAGAGTACAATTTTATTACTAGAATGGGTTATTACTATTATTATTATTATTACTATTAATACTGTTATTGTATAATTAGTAGTAGTAATATTATTATTAGTAGTGCATTTTTAGTGTATCATTTTGCTGAGACTATACTATAAGAATTCTCTTGTAAAGTGAACAGCCTTCTTGCAGTTAGTAAATCAATAAATTTTTGACTGTAGATATTGCAGAGATACGGCTGTGAAAACTGACCAGTAGCAGGACCGTTTTGATCAGGTATTAAAGTCCAAAATGTATTGATTTACTAAATGCAAGAAGGCTGTTCACTTTACAAGAGAATTTTCACTTTGCAAGAGAAATATCCCCATAGCTTATTGGCAATTGTCTTTGCATGTGGTTGGATATTCTTGCAAATTTTCACAGCATGCACTAAGCCAAGGGAAAATCCAAATGAACAGCCTATTTGCCTTTGGTAAATCAACCCAAGAGTAACACTGTATTGTAAAAAGCGGGCAGCAGGGCGAAAAGTTTATCAAGGAAGACTGAGCCCACATTTACTACATATAGAAAGCACAGGCAGCGGTTTTACTGCAAGAATTAAGATGTTGCAGAGGATACAGCAGTGTTGATTTGGCTAGCAGCAGGACAGATTTAATCTGGGATAATAGATCTAACTGGTGTATGCCTGTCTTTTTTTCATCTAAAGGAATATGAGAGTGCAGTGAATGTAAATAATATGATGAAGTTGTTTAGGTACACGCTGGAATTGATTTACTAAAACAGGAGCGTGCAAAATCTGGTGCAGCTCTGCATAGAAACCAATCAGCTTCCAGGATTTTTGTTAAAGCTTAATTGAACAAGCTGAAGTTAGAAGCTGATTGGCTACCATCCACAACTTCCCCAAATTGTGCACGCTCCAGTTTTAGTAAATCAACCCGTCTTGCACTTTTTTTAGATAGTCAGTAACAATTGAATGCTGCACTTTTATCACCCCAAAACTGACAAAAAGCTCTATCAATATACAGTAACAAAAAAAAAAAACCTCAAAGCAAACGGAAATTCCAAAATAAAACCCCTAAAACAATGGGACTCAAAGCAAAGACTTGTTGCGATGAATACTAGCACATTATGCCTTTACCTTGCAGGGGATTTTTTTTTCTTTTTGGATGCGGTTTACTACCACTTTAACCATTTGACGCCCGACCTATGGCCAAATGGCGTCCGCAAAAATGTATTACCTTTCCGGGAGGCCGCCATATGGCGCCCTCCCGCACATGCGCAGTTCACGCGCTTGCAGAGCCGCGAAGCGGTGCGATCTGTCACCGGCCGTGTACCTCGGACACGGCCGATGACAGATCTGAGTACCGGCCCCCGTTGCTGGTACCAAGTGACCTGCTGTGACCAATCACAGAAGGTCACATGACAGTTGTATACAATGGATGGCTTCATTTATGCTATCCATTGTATACTAGTGTCTAGCTGTGAATGGTCACAGGTAATCACATGCACATGTCATGTGATTAGCTGTGGCCAAATCACAGCTAAGCACAAAAAAAAAAAAAAACCCTGAATGAATCAATGTCATTCAGGTAAATGCTTGCTGATAAGTAATTCTTCGCTATAAGCAAATTGTGTACTACTTTGGACATAGTGAAATATGAAAAAAATCTTTAAAAAAAATGTAATAAAAAATTTAAAATAAAAAAAAAAATAAAAAAAATAAAAAATATATATATATTTTTTTTTCACACTGTCACCAGTCAGTGTCCCTGATCACTGCCATGCCAGTTATATGAAGACGTTGTGCTGCACTGGTATGTAAAAAAAAAAAGTGAAAATAATTTCTTTTATTTTTTCATTTTCCGAAAAATTATGACAAAAAAAATACAACTTCAAAAAACTCACCATGCCTCTTATGAAGTATGTCGGACTGTCTACTTTGCAAAAAGTGGTAATTTGGGGGATATCTGTACTATTCTGACATTCTTGGACCTCAAGAAATTAGATTGGCTGTCAGTACTTCAGGATTGATCAATATTCAGATCTATACCATAGTTTGTGAACTCTATAACTTTCCTACAAACTAAAAAATACATCCTAATTTGGGTTATTTTCACCAAAGACATGTAGTAGAATACATCTCGGCCTAAATTTATGAAGAACAATTATTTATTTTCAAACTTTTATAACAGAAACAAAGAAAAACGTGGTTTTTTTTCAAAATTTTCAGACTTTTTTGTTAATTGAGCAAAAAATAAAAACCCCAGCGATGATTAAATACCACCAAAAGAAAGCAATAATTGTGTGAAGAAAATGATAAAATTTTAGTTTGGGTACAATGTTGTATGACCGCGCAATTGTCATTCAAAGTGTGAGAGCGCTGAAACCTGAAAAATGGCATGGGCAGGAAGGTGTAAAATTGCCCGGTATTGAATTTGTTAATAATAATAGCAATCAAAAAGGCAGCAAAGGGATAGCTTGCCCAAAGAGTTAGGAATCAGAGATAAAGTACAGCTTCCTAACTGACCCTATCTCTCCATTTATAGTTGGTCACTTGTCAGCTTTCCCTATAATAGTTTGATCTGGGCAATTAGGGCAGCACAGTGGCTAAATGGTTAGCACTTCCGTCTGGCAGTACTAGGGTCATTAGTTCAAATCCCAGCCATGGCACCACCTGCCTGGAGTTTTCATGTTCTCCCTGTGACAGCATGGTTTCTTCCAGGTACTCTGGTTTCCTCCCACACTCCAAAGACATGCTGGTAAGTTAATTGGCTCCTGTCTAAATTGGCCCTAGTATGTGTATGTATGAATGTGAGTTAGGGACTTTAGATTGTACACCCCTTGAGGGTTAGGGACTGATGTGAATGTACAACATAATGTAAAGCGCTGTGTAAATTGACAGTGCTATATAAGTATCTGAAATAAATAATTTGGACCCCCCTCAACTACCCCCCCCCCCTTTCCTTGATTGGTCCTTCTAAGCCAGCAGGCCATAGACAATAATATTCCTCAAGCCTACACAAGATTATTAACTCATGTTCCCTAGCAAATCGCCACTATTTGAGTTTAAATCAACTAAAAAGTTGAAAATAAAGTAGAGCGATAAAATGAAAACTCCTCGGAACCCCTGCTGAATGGCCTGAGACTACACTTAGAGAATGCCTAAAAACTACAATTCAATAAATGCTTCTGCTTGGGAAACTGGATTAAAACTTCACTAAGCAATGTTCCATGTGGAACATGGTCCATCCGCAACTTTGGCACAAAGGGGGTCCAAGATGGTGAAGAGCATCCTATAATACCTACTTGGGTAGTTTTTTTTAAATTTATATCTCATTGGGAAGGTTTTGTTTTACATCCTGTTCCATAGAAGCTACATGAAGATAAAAGAAATGTCACCAAAGTGAGAAAAATCCTTTCTTAGGGCCAATTCATACTATATGCGGTGACAGACGTTGGTAAAACGTAAAACATGTGTCACCACAGGGACACACAGGAATCAATTGTTAGGTCTCCCATACACACTGCAACACAGGCTAGCAGACATTACATTTTATTGCAGCGCACTGCCCGAATTGTTCTGCAATGTAGGGCAGCGAAGCGCATTGCGCTGCCCAACATTGCAATTAATAAAATGTATGTTGTTTACATTTCAAATAAAGCTCCGACAGAAAAAAAAAAAAAAAGCATTGTGATGTGCTGAATTGCACACCACACTGCCCCTTACTGCAGCAGGCAATCGAGAGCTGTTGCAGCTCTCCTAATAGTGTGAATTCGCCCTTAGAGAATTGTCACTACAATAAGTGTCCCCATTGGAAGACTTCCACTCTCCCAACTTAAAATGTTCGATTTTACCTTACCATTGGAAGACTTTCTCTCTCCCAATTTAAAATGTTGGATTTTAACTTATGTAAAGTGTTGGCGCTACATACATGCAAGTAATATTTTAATAAAATTACTTTCTTTACTGTAGCTAATGATCACCAGTACAAATAGAAAGGATAAATCTCCCCAGCGGGTATAGTGATAAAAAAACTGAGTTATTTTCCCTTCCCTACTTTATCCAAAACAGCAACAAAAAAGTTCAGACTTTAACTACACTTTAAGCAAAAGGAAGGATAGTTGACCTGTTGAACCCCACAAAATCCTCCCTAGGCAAAGTAACTTAAAATGATCAAAAATAAACTACCGGACTTGTTTTCTTTTCTATCCTCCATAACTGTGAAATTCCAGTATGTAATAGCAAAAACTGTCAGTACTGGACAATTAACAACTTTCAGTCACATTTCTTTGTAAAAGCTAAAATTTAATTTTCTCACTGTTAAGTGAAATTTTGATATTTTTACTGGCAAAATTTCCACATCTATTGTAAATGTGGATTTTTTTAAAATAACTTTTCCATACTGCAGTACAAAAAAAAAAAAAAACAGTTGATATTTCAATTTGAAAATTCTATTTTTGTTACTTTAATTCTGACTGACATCAATTGAAAAAAAAAAATTAGAATGTTTGATAAAAAAATATATGTTGGACACAAGAGAAAACAAACTACTTTAGAAAATTGCTACCTCTGGTGTTTGCAGGTTTAAGAGCTCTTTGAAATATCGATAAGTTCCAAACGTAATCCTCAGGATATGGAAATGTTTAGCATTGCCTTTACAAAAACAGAACTATACAAACAGT